GCAGACAATGTGTGAAGTTGAGCGTTCGAATTTCCGAGTGCATTTTCCATTTTGCGCAGCGCATTGATGCACAACTGCAGACTGATGGAGGGGGACAGGGGTGAGAACAAAGAAAGCTCGCACACACACACACACACACGTACGCATACAAAGCCAAACCTCGACAAACGCGCGTGTGGGCGGCGCAACGTGGGCGTGGCTGCGTGTATAATTTGCGATTTATGAGCGAAACGCTGTCAGCAGCGGGCGGCGGGCGAGGAGTGTAGGGGAGAGGAGAGGCAGGGCATTCAACGAGCAAGTATAACACGTGCTGTGCATCGTCTAATGCGACGGGCAAACACCTACGCATACATAGACTCACACACACACACACGCACGCACCGACGTCCCACTCACACGCAGTTAAACACAGAACGGAAGATGCACAATGTGTCAAATGTCATATATGTGTCGCGTTAATAAATTCACTCAAATGTTTCAATGTGCCCGCTGGCATAATAAAATGCGCCTCGGCACAGACAAACAGCAAATCTATAGCGCCTCCAGGATATCTATCCCTTCATGCCACCCAGTTCCGCACACTCACCCATTCCCGCTCCCCCCTCTCCGACAATTGCCAATGACAAATACAATCCTATTGGCGCAGAATGAGTCTTGAATTACCAACAAATTCTGCTGGAATTTCATTGTAGCTATTGTTCCGCATCTCGTCAGAAGTTAAAGCAGAAATTGTTTATGAAAGATTCGGCTAATTGTATGAGCATAATCAAATAAATATATATTGAGAGCTAAGCCTTTCGTAATAAAGAATTATAGTAGTTATATATTCAAATAATTCAAATATTTTACTTTTTATCAATCCAATATTTACTAATCGACATTTCTTTTTATACAACAAATCCATTCGTATTAAGAAGCGACAACAGTATTTCGTTTGCGATTTCTGTGCATTTATTAACTTTCAACCAATTTATACTATAAATACATTAGAGTAAATACATTGTTGGAGACTAGGTAAACATAGCTCTGCGGGCAAAGAATGTTCTTCTCTTGGTGCATTTACGACAACCCGCAATGTATACTCTTTTCTACTTTGTAAACAGGGTATAAAGAAAAGAAATTAAGAGAAGCAGTCAATTGAAAAACTGAAACCATTTAGGAACTATAAAGCCTATTAAGTACACTTTGTGTGCTCAAACGATGCCGTAAATTACGGATTGTCAAGACCCATATATTTGAATAGACAAAAAAGTGAGGCCATTATAAAACGTATAAAGCAGCCTTGGAGTAAGGTTAAAGAAAATAACTGCAGCTTGAGTATACAAAAGACATTTATATACGTATATGAGTATTTTGGGACGGCCAAATGAACTGCAAATAATGCAGAAGGCGGCATATAAATAGTCGCCCCAAATGTGCCTGTGCCCAGCAAAGAGATATACATGAATTTGTCATTGAACTCTCCTGCGAGAACAGGACACGAAGCTCCTGCCCCGCACTTCCCCATTTAAAATCTATTTAATTGCAGAATCACAGCCAAAAGTTGAATGTTTTCTTTTTTACATCAATTGAAAATGGGTAAATGGGGTAGATTGGTTTTGTGCAAATCTATGTTACAGGCATAATAAATCAACGACCACATAAAGTATATATCCTCTGTGAATGCGAATGTATTTTTAAGGAAATGTTGACAACCCACATTCATCATCTAGGTGTGAGATAATAGGAGTTAGATTATTTTATAAGTGTTTAACTATTGCTAGCCTTGAGAAAGCAGGCGCGTAGCAGAAGTTCGTTTTGGTTGAGAAAGCTTTAGGATATCTCGTAGTCGGACAATGCGGAGTAGAGCACTCTTGTTTTTTAAAGAGTTGTTCGTTTTGGTGAGGGTTTGTTTGTCCTTTGCCTGATTTCTTGGCTTCAGAGCATTGAGGCGCCTTGCCAAGTAGCAAACGAGCTAAACCTGAGCCGGATGAGCCAATGGCAATGGCCAAAAAGCTTGCCAGCATCATCGTCAGTGCCATCACCAGCGGCTGCAGGCACCCAAAAAGCTTGGCACCGGCTAAGAAAACGGGCCGTCGTGATATTTTAGCCACGTTTGTCGTACAACAAAACTGCATAAATTTAATGCGCATTTTGGCAAACGATGCGACAACTTGGCTTCACATGCCAATGGCCCCAAATACCAGCGCCAAGTCCTGGCCAGGCCAACGACGCGTCGCAACGTTCGAGTTGAGCAAACGAACGCGATTTCGGACTTGCACATGCTGCAGGTGGGGGGCAGTTCCTGGACCTCTGCCTAGGCTTCCTCCATGAAATTCTATGCATTTCCGTGTTGGCATTTGTCGCTGCTTCATTGTGAGCACTGCAGCGGGTGTCGCACAGTGGAGCATGAGCGCATAAAGATCTGTTTCTTTAGGATATTAACAAAAGACAAAATTATATTTGTCAAATAATTAAAATCGGCTGCCATTGAAATAATCCAAATTAATTGCCAAGATATTATTTGATTAAAATTGTTTTGAATTTTCTTACTTGTGACAAATTAGCTAAATATAGTTACCTTAGGTTTCCTTGTCAAATCCAGAAACATTCTGCTTTAAGTCAATTTTCATCGAAGAAAAAACAATTTAAAGTCTTATTAACTAGCCCAACCAATTAACGGTAGAACGTAAGACTTGTTGAGGATGTGCCACACCATTTTGCTGATGCAGCCGATCGCATATTGGGGATCCCGCACTTATCTGGAATATGAGAGCATCGACGATTGCATGGAGTCCGTGTGCCGTATCTTTGAGGGTTATATGAGATGTCAGCATCTGAATGTGGAATCCAGCAACTACATTTTAGAGCTGTTCAATTTTCTCGATGGCCTGCAGGATATTACATGCATTGTATACCAGGAGGCGAGCCAGACCTATGCACCGCACAACAAGGTTTGGATCAAGGAGCAGCTGTTTTTGCGACTGGACGTCAATGAATACGATTATAACTAAGCCTGAGCTAAAGATAAAACATCACACTTTATGAGAAGAAATACATTCATTTTTGTAACACACATCTAGAACTGATTTTGAACCACTGCACTCACCGAAGGCCTATGCGGACCACAGCTTGCCCCGCACTCTCGTGCTGGCTATGCATTATAATTTGAGTGGCATGTTGAGAGTGGCTTTTGTTTTGCTTTTAATTAGATTTACATTGGCCACTTTTCAGTTGCGGCAGTTACCACGACTCTAGCTCTCTGTCCCGCCAACGTGGCACGTTCATTTCCTCTCACTCGCGCCCATCACGCTGCAGCATAACAAACAGTGCCTCTTGTTTATTTTGGCGCCTTGCGCACTCACTGCCTCCATCGGCCCGTTGCACATAGACAACAGCTACTGCCCTGTGTTCCCTTGCCACACCTACTTCCGCGCTGATTGCCTGCTTTTCTGCTTTTTTTTTTCTGTTTTGCTGAGTTATTTTCAACAGCTTCACTTTTTGCACTTCCGCTTTGTATGTCACTAATTGCTTTTGTGTTTCAGTATTTACAATTGTTTTGATTCATTTCTTGTTGACCCATTCCCCTGCCCCTGGCAATCCTCATCCCCCCATCCAAGCAAGCAACACGCTTTGCAGATCTGCGTGCTTAATTAAATGCACTTTGAGTGTCGTCGAGTCTCTCTGCGCCATTGTCCATTGTCAGACAACAATTGCCCCAGGCCTTTTGTGCCACGACTCTCTCGCTCTCTCGCGATCTCTCTCTCTCTCTAATCACAATCTCTAATGAAATTTCACTGCATTTTCACGCCGCACTCCTAATTGGGACAAATACTCAAAAGCTCTGCTTGAGCTCAAATTTTCATTATATCGATTTGTGCTCGCAATTGCAAAACACAAAACCTAATTAGAGGCTGCCGGGGGGCTTTGTACACCATGGTAACCTACTCAGGTGCATGGCATGTTCTAGTCGCACCATGTTTAATACATTCTTGCATTAGGAGGCCATTTCATTATGTTTTCGTACAGTTGCATGCCCGTTCGATTCTCATCTATTAATATTTGCCATAATTGAACCAATAATTGGGTCATATTCGAATAATGATGGGCCTTCGTTTGTTATTATTTGCATATCTTATTTTGACGATACGATGTTGCTGTACAAAGAACATTTTAAAGGTAGATATTACAAAATTCAATCAAAAACCCAATATAAATCATTCAAAATTTAAGAGCTTGCTCGCCCTGGAAATTGCAATGAATCCCTGAAATTAACAAAATAACTGAGAAAAGTTGTGAAGAATAATATCTCGTTATGCTGCTGATGATGCTGCTAATTCAAAACCGGAAAAGCTTTTAACCAATTTACATAATTTGCCAAAGAGCGAGTTGGGGCCATAATAGTATCCCTGCCGCGTCGAAGTCGTGGCCAAGGCGCGCTATCAAGTCGTCTGGCTGGAGTCATTTTTCTCAGACGTCGCCGAGGACGACGACGACGATGGCAAAGGACATTTTAAAGAAATTAATTAATGAAATGTTGATTAACTTTTGCCAGCCAGTCGAGCTGGTGCCTGTGCCTGGCTGACCAACAGGCTAAATAGCGGGTGGGGATTGGGCGTTGGGCGGTGGATTTAGTGGTGCGCCGTCTGAGATTTATGTCCAGGCATTTGTCATGGCAGCGAGTAAACAAGCGCGGGGCGTATCGCTTCTGTGTGGGCGTGCCCACTGGCAAGGCGTGCGCATAATCCACAAAATAATGCGCACTAAAGCAATTTACAATTCGAGAATTTATTTTTAAAAAACTCTTGCTTGAACTGGTGTCGGAGCGGGAAACGAGTAGAACACCTCGTCTGAACTTGGATCTGGGTCGGGGCTAATTAGCGTGAATGCTCCCAAACGAAATGGCATTTGTAACTTAAGAAGAACGCAGAAAGGGGTCTGCTTATTTACCCTTACCCGTTCCAAATAAGAGAAAATGACAAACGCTATCACTTATACATTTAATTTGTGAAATAGTTTTATACCCATCTCGGCCAGTTTTAAGAAATAAACAAATGCAACCTTTAGAAATAAACTTCAGGCTTCAAATTTAAATAATACAACTGGGTTGCATTTTCTAAGCGAACAGTAATCAGGATTGCCTTAAATAAACCTGAACTGAAACGTTTTTGAATTCAAGGCGCTGTGAGACTTGAGTTTGCGTGCAAAAGGCATTCCTTCCCTTTCTTGCCCTAAGCCCTAAAGAATAAAAGAATATAATTATTATTAAATATTATTGTCTCCAAGTCAATGAAAGGGTATTCAGACGCACTTGTAATTCCTGCACTACGATTAATCATTCAGTAAGTGTGCTTTGTTATTCGGGCTGGGTTGGCCGATGTGCGACATGACACTCGTCAAGTTGTTTAGTGCTTGATTGATTTATGTATTTGAGCCCATTGTTTGGCCCTTAATTAGTTTGACCAGCTGGCTGATTTTGGCTGGCCATACAAAGTCCCAAGATCTGGTTCAGAAGTTTTAGAAGGCACTATTAGTCAAAGTCTAAGAGCTGGCGATAAGTTGGCAGCAGGTCTTCGCTGGCACACCTTGGGCTTCGATTTATTGCGCATCTGATTATCAAATTGCATAACAAATGGTTAGCCAATAAAACATTTTGACATGCAATTCATACCTTACATTTTGCGACTGCAGCAGCACCCCTTTTGCGACCCGGCTTTATAAATAACATGACGCAATCGATGGGTAAAAAAACATTATTTGGCAATAAAATGGAAATCGATTCGGCAATGGCAAAGGCAAAGGCAAAGGCAACAGAAAAGGCAATGGCAACGGCAACGGCGAGCAAAGTTGACAAATTGCAGCCAAGGAACAAATGGAGCGCCGTAAGAAAAATAATATCGACTATCAAGGATTTCCCAGTTTCATTGCCGTTCTCTGCCTCATCCTGGCTGCTGCTGCTGCTGCTGTTGCTGCTGCGACAATTTACATGCCCCAATTGCAGACCCGCCTCGCCCATTGCCTGAAATGACGTTCAAATTGAAAAAATTTTCGTAGACAAACACACACACACACACACAAATACACTTATTGTCAGCAGGGCATCCTTTGTGCGGCTATGCTGGTGCTGCTCCATCTGCGATTGCCCTTCTGCACTCCATCTCCAGCTGCTGCTCCTGCACCCTTTGTACTTGTCATTTATGAAAATTTGTTTATTTTCGTAATGCTCCATTTGCAAATGTAGCCAATGTAAATATTGGCTCTTCATATAGCAGGCTGGGCATGGTCACAGCTCTATGCCTCCGAACAACTTCAGCCCTCATTTTTTTCTGGAGCCTCTTATATTTTTATGGTTTTGACTGCGGCGCATAATTCATGCTTCTTTGTTATAATTTCCATTTGCGACTTTTACAGTTTCCCAGCCTTCGCAACCCGAATATGCATGCATATAAATTGATAAAAATGAATTTTTATTGATCGACCATCATCATTAAATCGATAAACTTTTTTAAATGGCATTGATTATTTTGTGGTTGCTGTCCAAGGGCTGTCCGATACATTTTAATTATACGAAAACAAAATAAATCCAATTAATAAAAGGCAAATATAACAATATTTGTGTCAGCCAGTTAAATTAAATGACTATTAATCATTTTTTTTCACTGCACATTGAGATAAAGGTGCCTTTGGGTTACTGGACAAACCCTATTTATATTGTACATTTGTATACTTGGTGTGAAAAAGAGAATATTTTGATTTTTTTTTGGCTTGATGTTCTTCTATCTGTTTGAAAAAAATACTAGTGTATATCTGTTGTATCTGTATTGCCACAGGCTTAGAATAAAGTCTCCAATGACTACGAACTAAATACTCAGAGTTCGACACCAGCAGAAGGAATTAAACTTACTCCCTTATTTGGGAAACGTTCTAGGAACTAGGAACGTTCAAAAGTTCAAGTCTCTTGTTCATATAGGTACTGCGATCAGGTACTGAGATATAGGTACTGAGATCAGTAGAATTTAAATTATATCTTTAAATAGCTTTAAATTCATAGAGTAAGCCCATTCCCTTTCGTCACAAAATATTAGAATAGCAACAGAAAAGCTTTCGGCATAGATCATTTTAATAAATGTTCATGTCCGTAGCAAAAGGCGAGTCAGCTGCAGAGTAAACCAATTCCAGGACATACTTATTGGGCATATTACGTCACAGTTGCTGTCGAATTCGCCGTCACAATCAGATAGTTGGGGGTAACGTCAAACGCCACAGCAAAACAACGCAAACAACTCCTTAAAATATAACAAAAAGGCCAAATAAACAAAACTGAACAACAACAATTGGCAACGACTTTCATTCCTGCTATTGTTGTAGATATAACAGCTATCGTTGTGAAGAAACGCGCGAACGAGCCATAAAAATGCGAGGCCAAAGCAGTCAAACTTATGTTGTGACAAGAAGAGAAGATGCTGTCCCCAGAAGCCAAAACCATCGAAAGCGGCAGCGGAACGACCAAACACCCATCCCCAAGCTCAACCAGCCCCTGTAACCATTTCGTTTTGAATCCTGCGCGACTGGCGCTTATATTTTATTGCTATTATCCTGTTTACTTCATGTTTATGAACAAACACAGGCGCACTCACACCCGCACACACATGTGTTGTTATGGTGTGCGAATTAGTTGTGGCAGCAAAATGAAAGCGAATGCTTTAGCATTTGCCCTCTTTATACCCTGAACCCATTGCAAACGGCTAAAAGGGTATACAGTTTTTATGCAAATCTTTGTAAAAGGCAGAAGCAGGGTTCTTTGGGGGCTAGCATATGCGGATAGGAGGATGGCCAATGGCAGGTAGGAATACAGCATTCGATTTCCAACCTAATTTCAATTGTAATTAGGGCAAGGTTCTTCATATGCGTGGTTAGCACTGTGCATCTTTAAAAGCTAGATAAGCTAGATAGACTTGCTGTGATTGTGTGCTAGAGACTTTTACGTAGATTAATCTTCAATACCTGCAGCTTCGTTTTTTTGACATTATCTCGGACCTTGAGGAGGTGGAGCAGCAAATTTGGTAGTCGGGCACTCTCTATGAGAGAACTTTTACGTGCTTTGCTTTTTTTTTTTGGCCCAATTGAAATTTTACTGTGACAGTCAAAAAGGGAGAGAGATGGAATGGGAAGAAGATGCTGGAGAAATAACAATTCCATTCAATTCATATGTTGCCAGCACTAAGATGACATCCGCGAGCACTTTATACCCAGTACAAAACTCTTTTCAAAGGGTAGTTTATCGTCTTTAGATGCTGAATTGCATAAATTAATTAACAAATATGTATAAATTGAAAAAACAGAAAATATAATTTTATATTATATTTATTTATTATATTTTTAATTAATTTATAAAATATTAAAAAATTACGAAAACATTTAGCTCTTTGCTTAAGATAGTTAGTTTTCCCTTCCTTTTAGCGAGTACAGGGTATCCTCCAAGCATATAATATATATTATAGGCAGAATTCGGCGCTCACATTCGCCCCGTTCTAAGGCACTCTCATGCAATATCTCACCAGCGTGACCCTTTGTTATGAATAGTTGCAGAATTCTAAGCAAAAGCACTTGAGAAGAAAAACTGCTGGCATTGTACCTTTTGGGTCTTCGGTAACAGCTGCCCAGAACTAAATTCTTATCCTATGTCTGGCAATGCGTTGGGGGGCTAAAAGCATTGAATATATGCAGAGATAACATTGCCATATTTTCAAATTGAGTGTACAAGTGGGTGTTTCTGCTCTAGTGAGAGTGTGTGCGTGCGTTGTTTTGGGGGGGAACGCGCACATTTGTTTAGTCTAATAAACATTTATATGAATTTTGACAAGTGCTACACAAGCCAGCCAAAGGATAGGGCAGACTCAGTGAGCAATTAAAGCTGAGCCAATTGTCTGGCTTTAATGTCGAGTGTCAAGCGAATAAATTACATCAGCAGCAACTAACAAATCAAATAATGCATGCATAAATTTAACAATTTTCAGTAGCCAGAAAGTAGCTAAAACTTCACCAATGGATGTTATGGCTGGCGGACAGTGGGTAGAGATTGTTACGTTCTGGTGTTGCGTTCTGGGCTGCGTCGGCGGCTGCTTTTCCAATGACTCACTTTGTAATTTATGACTTGGAATCCACAGCAGCACCACCAGCACTACCAGCAGTCGAAGCCAGCCAACGCCTCAGCGCCTCCTTTCGAATGACAATTTTCGGCACAATTTTCGCCGCAGCTTGGATAGAGAAGACGTGGGAAACAGTCATGAATAGATGCGGGAGTGGGAGCGGTTGCCCTTAGTATGGTGGTAGCATTGGGAAATTGTAAAATTGTTGAAATATAAAACTTTCCGCTGCATAACGAGCTAACGATGCGGAAACCTGAAGAAAGTTATGTTATCAATTTCAGTACCAACAAATGAATTTGAATTTAACACGGCAGCGCACAAAAGGTCATCAACTAACTTTGAAAATTATGTGCACTCGCACTTATATTAACATATAAATAAATTAATACTCAAGCGTTTTAGCTTGAAGGTTAGCTTTCGCAGTTGATGCACATCTTATGACAATGCTTCATTGCTTTAAATGCCCATCATCAAGTTAACTCTTTTTGGTTGATATGAATCTTAGAAGAACAAATACTATATCATGGCTACAAATCTAAAAATAATCGAGAGCTGAATGCTCTTCAAATTCAAGTTAACACCTCGGAATCTAAAAGTAGTTTTCTATGCGAATTTCTACTGAAATCACTTTCGGGCACTCGATGGGAATCCGAGTGATAACTTTAACGAAATAAATTTGTGGCCATATTTTCGTCGCCTTCTCAGTTTGGTTATAAAATCAATTTCCGTTGAAGAATTCAATTTCCGAATGCAATAATTATGCCAAGTGTCAATGCAAAAAAATGCAAAAACTACAAGAACTTTTCTTCCTCTATCTCGCGCTCTCTCTTTCTGTCTCTCTCTCTCTTTCTCTCTCTTTCTCTCACTGTTGGCCCACCTGTTTCGTGCATCGTCAATTAATAACTTTTGTTGTTGCTGTTTTTCTTTGTATAAATCTTTTGGCACAAATCTAAGCGAGGGTTGGGCGCAAAAGGAAAATCACATAAATCCTTGAGCATTTAATTCGAACAATAAGAAAAATAATTACGAGTGCTGAGCACGTGAGTCAAGAGCACTTGACGGTGAGCGAGGGCCTGGAATGGGGGATAAGCCGTGAAAAAATTACAAGTCGAGACGCGCCCCAACTAAGTTGGATTGCTACGTTCAACTGACAGTCGCCCGGAAACAACAACAAAAGTCTGTGAGTGTATGTCTGTTTGTGTGTGCTTGTTTGCGTTTGTGTGTATGTGTGTGTGTGTGTGTGTGTGTGTAATTGTGTAGGATGGGTTTACTTGTCAGGCAGTTAATCTAACCCATCAAGCTGAGGCGCCGACTCGCTATCCAGATATTCCAGACCAGGCAGCGTCAGCGGAAAGCGGCGAACACAGGTGCAATTAAGAAATTTTGCACGGAAGCCAAGTCAAGTCAATAGTGTATGTGTGTGTACGTGTGTTCGTAAAAGACAGAGAGAGAGGGAGAAAGAGAGAGAAAGAGAGAGAGAGAGAGAGAGAGAGATAGAGGGGAAGTGTCCCCATCCCATTGACTATCTAGGCGCCCATCGTGAGGCTCGACTAGGAAGCCAGCCAACAATCGTCAGTTTCTTGCTATCTGCTGTGCCACCTACAACCTGCAAACGTTTTCCCTTCTGGCACCTTAGCTCCCCTTCGTCCATCCCCTCAAGCGTCCCGCGCTCGTTTACTATTCATTCTAGCGTGCCATTAAGATTTGTTGTTTGAATACATTTAACATTTGTTAGTGCAGCCATTGCTGAGTAATTGTGAGTGTATAGGGTGTGTATGTGTGTGTGTTTGTGTGTGTGTTTGTGTGTGTGTGTGTGTGAGTGTGCCTCATTTTGCACTCACAGCAATTATTTACTCGCGCTTAAAGCTAAAAGGCTTTAATTGCGCGATTATTTGTCTTCTTCATTAAGCGAAACACGCAAATCTCAAAGGCGAATCCTTTGAATGCTGAGGCAAGGGATGAGCAGAGACCAGAAGCGAGCGACGAATGTGGGGAAAGTTGGTTGAACAAACAGTGAGCAAAGTAAGTAGACGCATGGCTCCGCAGTAGCTGTTGTGTGTTTGCGAACTTTATTTTAAGGGAAAACTTGTAAATTTAAGACAAGAGATTAAGTTATGAAAAAGGTCCCA